GCTGAAATCAATTCCATAAGATCGTACTTCGACAATATTGTAATTAATATTGTAATAAAATGTGCGTATTTTTTGTGATCATTTCTGACGACGCAACTAATTTAGTAATTTGATTTTCCCTCAAAGACGTAATTTGTCACTTGATGAATCAAAACTTTCATTTGCACTCTTTTTCGAGGGGGGGGTGCTCGAGTAAGCGCCCACCCCTAAAAAAAAAAAAAAAAAAATCGTGATTTTCTGAGTTGAGGCCCCTGGGCGCTAACGCGGTCAAGTACGGTATGACCTTTGACCCCACTAAACATCACAGTCACATACCATGTAATGTGTAAACGATCAAAAACAGCAAAGAGTTCCGTTTGCTTCTTCTTGATATGACTGCAGAGAAATTCATCAAAGTCTACTGCTTGGACTTCTCATCTAAATGTATTACATATCATATTATGTATGAATAAATTCAAATACTGTACACAGTTTCAAAAAGTCAAACAACAAATTCGCAGCACTGACATTGTTTTAATCTTTTGTTAATACTATTTTTAGAAACATATCTCTAACAGAAGCATCTATTGCATTCTGAACCATAATCATTTTACAATTATTTTAACCATAGATACAGCCCCATATCATTTACGCAAGTGCACATTCTAAAAATAAAACAAATAGGGTATTTTAAATGATAAACAACTACACAGAGGAGTATTAGTAACATTGTTTATACTATATTTTGACATCACACAAGTGACTGTGACTTGGAAATTGGAAAGTTATATAGTTGGTATAAGTCAACATATATTAATTCATATAGATACATTTGTTTCAAATTTCAACACGATGAACTTATTTGAATTTCATTGTAGGAATTTGAACTTGTAATTATTGTGGTTCAATTATTTTTGTTCAGATGCAAGTGTACTTTTCTGTTCTAAATGTAGAATACAGCTGTCAGCGAGTAGTTTCCATTCATAAAATTAATTTTTATAGTTTTTGAAAAATTTTATTCAAGACTTGCAGCCAAGGGATATTATGTCTATTTGGTTTAAAATCAACAATGAAATTATAGAAAAATATGTGAAAAATATTACATCGTCTTTTTAGCGAGAAAAATATGTGTTCAAAAAATTAATTTTGTGTGATCAGGCTTGTAACAAGATGTCCCCTTTAGAATATTTATATTTTGATATACTGGGATGAAATCTTTCATACTTTAATACTATTAATGCGTTAATTATTCATTAGGTTTTAATTTCGCTAATAAGTAAATTCCGCTAAATTAAATCTACGTGAACATGTAAAATAACAACAGAACAGATTGTTTCACTGGTAATATGCTCAAAATATCAAGATAGTGACATTGAATGTCAATAAAAATAGTTTTACAGTACTTCTTTTGATAGCGGGATTTAATAAGTGTCTTTCAAAAATAGATATAAAAAATGATTTTGGGCATTTTATTTGATAAAATTGCCAACGAACAAAAGAAAAAACAGAAAAAATATGAGTAATAGAATGTTGGCCGTCAAATCGACAGAATGATAGGTAGCACTCTATGTTATTCTTTAAATCTTCTTGTATACCATAGCTCATGTGTAAAGGTAGTGGTAGAGTCAATCACATCAGTGCTTAAACACAATACTCATTCATACTACAGGGCATGTC